TTTGATTTCGATGCGATTGCTTCGTCGCTTTCAGCCGGCATCAAATTTCATTTACATTCATTCGTGTCTCGTCTCCTCCTCATCTCCCTTCCCTTCTTTGTCGAGTAAACAATTATATCGGGAATCATCAATATTAACATTAATATCGATTTCATTTACAGTGTTTTTTTTATTGCTTAAAGAAAATTATTGTTTTTTGTACGGAAATTTAATTACGGTTGCACGAGAAACGGTATAATTGGATTTAGAAAAGGGAGACATCTGACGGGCTTCAGTTGAATCGCACGGCGACGCCTGAAAAAGCTTTCAGGAAGCGCTTACCCGCGACAAAGTTCAGCACTTGACTCACAGATGTCGCTCCGATTTATTTGATGTTTTCCTCTTTAATCATTTTGATTATTTAAAATATTATTCATACACTTTTAATTTGTTTAACTTATTAACTAATTTTAAAATTCAAATTAAATCCATTGATTGTATATAACTTTGTTATGCTAATGATTTCAACTACTATTTTGCATCTCATTCTTCACTGAAATCTAGTATTTACTTGTAAATTTCATCCTCAAGTTTTGTTAAATCAAAGTTTATATTGAACGAAAATACTAATATTTATAATTTTTGTTGACTTATTTTTTAATATGTTATTTTTTTCTATTGCAGAAAGGACTTGCATCTTCTAGCCGAGATTCTTCTTCAAAATAGTAAGTTCGATATTTTTTTTATTATTTTAAACTAGTTTTGCGCGTCTTTACTTCATATTACGAATGTATTAAATTGATTTACAAATCAATATTTATATATAACAAACGAGATTTGCAAATTGGAAAAAAAATAGAGTAGGAGGAGGAGGTACTGCATCTGCCGTTAAATTGCTTAAACAATTTAGATTATTAACACGTTTGTTTGTAAGTGGGAAAGAGCAATTCGAAATTGACTGCTCGAATCGACTCGAAGGAGAAGACCTGAACCCCACCTTAGAGTGAGTGAGTGAGCGAGTAAGAGTGGTCTGTTTTTTGGCGTAGATCTCGGTGGAAATGTTGTGGAATTTGATTTAATGTGCGGCTCGTTTATAATCATCGCCAGTCGAAAATAATTCGAATAAGCGTTTTAAATTTAGAGCGGAGCAGCAGAGAGGCGGCTTACGTTGCTCCTCTTGCCTCTGTGCCTTTTTTTTTTCTATTTCGCAAACTCTGCTCCTCCACTTTCTTCTTCCTATTTACGCGTTCATCTCCACTCTTTTCGTCTATTCGGTAAACATACAGTTTATCAGTTATAAAACGGGGTGGATTTCGGACAGGCCCTTCGTTCGTTCTCCCGCGAATCTTTCTCTAATACTGCTATTGTTTGCGCCGCACTAAAGCAGCGGCAAAGTGGCATCGTGTAAACATGAGAACGGCGAAAGTCAATTAAGGCCTTCTTCTGTTTACCAGAGTCGGTCGACCCGAGTTCCGATGTTAACAGCACGTTAATGTGCACCACCATCCATTAGTAGCATCAACAGGAGCAGCAGCAGTAGCACGAGCAGTTACAAACAAATTCGCAACCTGTGATCTTCTCATTTGGAGATTTGATCATCGGAACAAAATGATTAAATAAAAGAACAAGAGTGGAGAGAGAAGAGATAGAGATGAAACGGACTTTTCAGAGTTTATGGAGTATTTTCCCTGGCCACAACAGAACGCGGGTTATAAAGTCCGCCACTGTGTAAACAGTCTCGTTTCATTGCAGCCAGAGTCTGCTGTTCCGCCACCCATAATAATAGCCGTCGTCGTCGGCCCGTGCACGCGTTACCACTAAACTAAAGTTAACTTTAATGATGAACTTTTCTCCTCTTTACTCTGTTTGATAGTTGCCAGCTAATCAATTTATTGTCGTTTTTGTTGTTGTTGTAGTCGGTACCTGCGCCGTTACATAATCAAAGGCTGCTGCAATTAGGTGGCCACCCCTAATGACATTTATAGTTAAATTTGTTTGGGAAAGCGGAAATTTGATTTCCGCGCGTGCCGCTTTCGGCAATACACAAAGAAAGAACACCAACGACAACCCCCAACCCCATCGGCAATTAACTTAATTACGAATTTATGTAATGATAACTTTTCCTTCCTCGCTCACTCCCCTCACTCCTCGTCCTCGAAACTCTCATCGATTTTTTAAGTATTCCTTATTCCTATCCCACTTTCACCCTTCCTCTTCCAACTCGTCCTCCTTTTTTTTTTCTTCTTCTATCTGTTTCCTTACTTTTCGTCGTGTTCGCGTTCGTGTTTCTTTTCGTTCGGTGAATCGGCCGCAATTTGAGGCAGTAACCACAGCTTCCATCCAACCTCCTCTCCCTCACCCTCCTTGCCCTAATAGCGAACATCACCACCACCACCACCGCAGCCCTCCGCCACCATCCATCACCGATTTTTATTTGAAAAACGTCTCAATCAATGGCCCTCTTGACTTTCCGCACGTCCCAATTCCTTTATTTAATCCCCATTTATTCTTAGCCCGCGCCGAATTTCCTCTTCCTTCCTTCCGTCCGTCCTCAATCTCTCCCTCTCACCCCTCACTAATAGGGAATTCGTTTGGGTAATTTGCGGCCACTCGTTTCATTGCATTTTGCTTTCCTTTGAATTTTCTTTTCTTTTTCTCTATTTATCGAGAGGAAAGATCATCAATTTCTTATTTTTTTCACTTATTCGATTTCTTTTCTTATGTCCTAAACGAACTAAAGAATAAAAATAATAACTTTTCTGTTCCTTTTTGTATAAAACTTATTTTTAAGTGTAAAACTTTTAAGGAAGCACTGATTTTGTTGATTTACATTTTTGTATGTGATTTTCTTGAGCGAAAATTCGTAATCGCGAAACGGAAGTAGCGAGTGCTTTGTGCGCTGCGAATATTCCGCCTCCGTCGGCGGCGGCGGCAATTCGTTGGCAATTCGTCGAGAGTTGTGCGAGAGTTGCGAGTGAGATTTGCATGCGAATGCCATCAGAGGAGATTCGTGCACTCCTCCGACCAAAGAATCTGAATTTGCGCGCGCGAAGATTCCATACAATTTGGCAGGACGACGAAAGTGCGATTAAAATACGTCTTTCCCAGCAGTTTCTTTCTTTCTTCTTTCCTTCCTTCTTTCTTTCTTACCTTCAACCATTGTTTGGCAACTTTACATTTTACGCATTATTCGTTCACATGGTATTTCGGTTTCAATATAGAAATTGAAATTCAAAATAATTTAATTTTAAATTACACGACTATTAAATTATTAATGTTTCTTTAAGTTTGTGCGTGAGTCGTCGCTCCTCAGTATGTGTGGCAATTCTGAAATTGCTTGATTTTGTATTTTTGGATGGCACAACCGAAAATGTGGTTTTCTTGTTTATTACTTAAATTGTACTATTTTAGTTTTAATTCCTCGTTGTTTATTGGTGTTTCTGTGTGCACTCGTTTCGTGCACAGTAGTCTGGATGTTTGTGTCTGAGTGCGAGTGAGCTACGGGGAAAAAGAAGGACAACGAAAGAGGTGGAATCTGCTGGAGGTTTTTCGGTGTTTGCGTTGTCTTGCCTTTGGACGATGAGAGTAGAGGAGTAGAGGAGTTTAAGACACCACATGGCATCACTCTCGTATAAAACGTATAAACAATATAAAATTACTTGTATATACAATTATGACTACTTGTAATATAAACGAAAAGATTAAGTTACTGCCGTGCGCTCAGAAAGTTCTTCCTCCACCGCCGCCGCCTCGGAAAACGGGAGAACGAAACAAAAACAAATGAAAAAAAAAACAACTCCTTTCCTCCACTCTGTTTCCATGGCCCACCCACCACCTCTAATGCGCATTATTAACACATTTCATTTACTTTAAAAAAAAATACACAAAAAACAGATATTTTCTGTTTTAGCTTTTAATTTCAATTAATTCTCAACTTTTACTAATGAAATAAGAAAGTAGTTTCAGTTTTTTTTTCTTAATAATAAACAACAAGTAATTAGTTTTTACGTTTAAAATATATTCTGTTTTCATAAAGCAAAAAAAAAAAGAGAAGAAGAGTTAATTTATTTTCTGTTTTCCACTTCCGCGTATGAGTAAATAGATTTTGAGTTATTGCGAATAAATTCGGAGATTGTTTGGAGTAGGTAGTCGGTTGTGTGTGTTTGCTTACGTAAAGTTTTGAGCGAAGAGGTAGAAAGGTAAAGAAAATATTTAGGGAAATTTCAATTTGCGACGGAGATTATCCGCGCCTGGAGTGTAAATTCACCTGTCGACACCCACAAGCACAAGAGAATTCATCCATCCTTCTTCTGTCCTCTATCCACGTGAAGCACTGCAACTATCCTCTTCTTCATCGATTACATGGTTATCTTTTTTCTTTTTTCTCTTCGTCATCAACCTTCGTTGCTGCTGCTCTCTTTCTCTCTCTCTCTCTCCCTGATATACATATTTGTGTGTGTGTTCGTTTCGAAAACGTAAACCGAAATTATGAAGTATAATAACCATATGCTAGGTACAACCACTTCGTTCAAGTGTGTATACTTAAGCAGATATGTTTATTAAACAACTATTTTAAACATCTAAGTGGCAGAGCTGCGCACATATATTTATATTTGTTGGGTTACGTGAGCGGCCGATAACAAATATTTTATGGAGCCAAAAACTTGTTCAAAACTCTTCAATTCGATTACGATGGAAGAAAGGAAGCAAAGAAGGAGGCTTCCCGCAGAAAAATGATTTCTTCCAATTGATTGCATATCATATTAATATGAACATTATAATTAGAAATTGTTGGTTTCATGTTATATTATACTTGCAGTATTTTCAGTAATTTTCAGTCTTCTATATTAATGATTAATTTGAATGAAAGGAATGTAGAGATGGAACATTGAAACACATTATTTGATAATAGTAATAATAATTTATTTAGTTTAAAGTCTAATTTACACTAAAAATCAGTGCATAAATACTTTCTTCGATAAATTCAATTGCTTTCGATACGGTTGTTGGCCGTAAATAGAGAGAGATTAAGGGGGAATAAATATTTACAACAGTTATGTACAAAAAAATATAGGACTAAAGATAAATCGTACGCTTCCTAAAAACTAATTACGTATACGCAAGAGTGCATCTTGTTTGTTTGTTTGTTGTTGTTGTTATTGCACGAAATTGTTGAGGTAAAAACTAAAACTAATGTTGTGACTAATTTGTAATTTTTGGACTTTCAGTGTCTTCCTCTTGACCAGCGGTGACCAGAGACGCCGGATGGTAGTAATTGAAGTACGGGAAGAGCTGCATTGAGGTGTTGTACTGCTGACAGAGGCTGAGCATGTTCTTGTGCGACTTGGTGAGTTGTTCGTAGACGTAGAGGTCTTTCGGTTTTTGGAACATCGGCACGTCGTCTTTGACTAGCACCTTGACGGCCACCTTCCTCGCGTTGTTATTATTGTTGTTGTTGTTGTGATGGTGATGGTGGTTGTGATGATGATGGTGGTGGTGTCCGGAGAGCAGGTTCGATTCCTGCAGCTGAAGAGCCTTTCTCTTCGTCTTGTATCGTCGGTTCTGATACCAGATTTTGACCTGGGTCTCTGTGAGTTTCAATGCTTGCGCCAGGTCGGCTCGTTCCGGTCCGCTCAGATACCGCTGCTGGCTGAATCTGCGTTCCAGCTCGAAGACCTGCGCGTGGGTAAAGGCCGCGCGCGACCTCTTCTTGCGTCCAGATTGGCCCAAAGCCCCTCCGGCTGACGACTCCCTCGACTGATCCTCCAATTGGTGCTGATGTTGCTGCTGCTGTGAGCCCCCGTGTCCAAAGCCTGAACTCGTCGAAAACGTTGCGAATTCTGAAACAAAGAGAACAAAGAAATACTGCTGTTACTACCACTACTCTTGATAATGGGTGGTTGTTGTTATGTATCGTGGTGGTAGTGGTGGTGATGGTGGTGGTAGTAATGCAAACCTAATGGGTTATAAATTGCGGAGCAGCAATTATTGGAAATTGAGTAAAAGCCTTTGCGTAAGTTTGGTTAAAAGGCTTTTTTGGAGCCGCGGCGGTGGCGGCGGTGGCACCGACTGGCACCGTCCTCTCTGTTCTTTCCTTAAAACGATCAAAGTGTGTTTTATTATTATGCAACGAATACCTCACACCATACCACCCGACCACGACGATGAATTCATTAAACTAATACCACTCGCCGTCACCCTCGAAATATCGTTCGTTCCCAGAAACGACAAACCACAAATGGATTGAATGGATAGAATACAAAAGACGAGAGAGCAATCAATCCTTCTTAAAATCCACGTTGCAAATACACTTTGCTATCATTCATCATTGTCCAAAAGTTTAGTAATTTGCCCTACTTACACTTTTATTCTTTACTATTATTACTTAAGCGATATCCAAATTCAATTAATTGGTATACAATAATTATACTTTTCAATTCATTTGGACACAATTTAAATTAAAATGTTTTTTTAAGCTGAGAATATTTCAATTTCATTATCAAAGCTTTTAATTATTATTAATTTAAACAATTTACATTTCAGAACTTCTTTTATGAACTCCTTCAATATAGTAAAATCAGTAAAGAAATTATTAAAAGTATTTGCTAGAACGATCACTCATCAACAATTATTATTATCTATGATGCATGTTGCTTAACTTGCATATAGATTGTCAAATGTGTATCCTCTTCAATGTCACATCAATTTAATGTATACAAACAATGATGATAATTATTGTACTTATACATAGTAAAGCAACGTGTGTCGATAGGTTTTACTAATCTACTAAGATATATTACTTTGTAAAGAGTTAAATTTTTCATTGTATCTGCTGGACATTTTATACGAAAATCAATATAAAAATATTGCTAAATTAATGATGAACTAAAATGATAGTGATTATTTTCTCTAAAGAATTGATTAACAAATAGTTTTTATTCCTTGAGATCAATGATACAATTAGTATTTATATATTAATTTAATTTACTATAGTTTTAATGTTAAATTTTCAAACGAAATTAATTCGGAATTTTTCTTTTGAGATTTTGTGATTCTAATCTAATCTTGTATACTAATAAGAATCAAATATTTGTGAAGACGTTAAGTGATGTTAAGTTGTATTTGTTAAATGGTTGATGGACATGTCCATGTGGTAGGAAGGATTGAAAGTTTGAATTAGTTTCGCGCATACCGTTGAATTCCCTCGCGGACTTTCTCATATCGAGTGCCGTCTCCTGGTTAAAATCCAATCCCAGGTGATGGGGTGGTTTCCTGCTGAGGATGTCGTTTATCGAGAACGGCGTGACCGACGTCGACGTCGTGGCCATCGTCTTCTCCGCGTTTTCCTCCTCCATACCAACCACAAGCACTGACTGAAATATCCTTGTTCTTCGGGTTCTGACTGTAATCCACTAAAGTGAAACCAACCAAATTTTGTTGTTGTTGTTGCAGCAGCAGGAGGACTTGTATTATTATTATTGAATGGTATTAGTAGTAGTAATGAGAGAGAGAATGAGAGATAGAAAGGTTGCTCCCGTTTTGCGTCGGGATAGTAACGAGGACTGGAGGAGACTAGAGGAGGATCGCGCGCGCCTCCACCACTACCACCAACACCACGGGACGCCCAAAAACGCGTCGGCCGCGATAATAACAACAGACGGCGCTCACTAAAAACCCACCTCCTTGAAGACCCCTCCCCTCCGCCGCCGCACTCTCCCTCCCACCTTTACGTACATCCATCCCATTCCGAAGAGTACAAAAAAAAACACCAATCAAAACCACTTACATCCGACGGCTGATGTATTGAATGCAAGCGCACCTCAATAGTTATTAATTAATTAATTAATTCTTACTACTTGTTGTTTATCTCATTGTTTTCATTTCAATCCATTCCATTTATTTATACTTTTCCCTACGTTCGAGGATGATGAAAGAGCGAAAGAAGAGAGAGCGATTGTTGATATTTCTCGATTTCCTCCGCTTCTGTGGTTAGTGCTTTGCTAAAGTAAATGCTTTAAAAGCAATCCGTCACTCACTCACGTGCCATCTCCTCTACCTCATCTTTCTCTCTTTTGAAAACGCAAACGCGAATCGTCTTTCCCTCTCGTTTCATCTCTTACTTAAACTTGAGTAAAAAAAAAAAATTAAAAAAATTCGATTGCTCGATCACTTTGAAAACGGGCGCACTTTTCCTGCTCTCGCATCTTGCACGAGAAAACAACATACGCGGGCGGTGCAGAGAAACCTTTTAAAATTCAATTAAAGTGCGAAGCTCAGAAGTCTCCATTTTCAAATTTTCGCAACGCCAAACTAAATT